TGAAGGAAAATGAGGAAAAGCGAGGTACTGCCATTACAGTCTTTCTTCTCACCTTTTTTTTCCCTCAACCTCTCATCCTTTCTTCTAAATAAATAAAGAATCCAGTTTGGCAGTGGAAATGGAGAGGAGCCACGTGGGTGTTTTGTTCTGGCCTTGTGTGCTGGAGTAACACAGACCTGTGTTCAAATCTTAAAGTAGGGAAAGGGGCTTAACCTCCGCAGGCAGGACCAGCTACCTAATTTGCAGGGTCAATGCAAAATAAAAATGTGGGGCCCCTTGTTCAAAAATGATTAAGATTTTCAAGATGGTGACAGCAAAGCATTAAACCAAGCATGGGGACACATCTAAGTGTGGGGCTCCATGTGACTGCAGAGTTCACACGCACATAACACCAGCCCTGTTTCTAGGCTTCAGATTCCTTATGTAGAAATTGTTCATAAAAATGGCTCCCTCACAGGGCTCATATGAGGGTTCACTGAGTTATGTGGTGAAGTGAAACGTGCCTCGCTTATTGTAAGCATTCAGTAATTATTGGTTTCAACCTCTCTCTCCTCTTTTTCTCTCCCTCCCACCCACACTCTTTATTATAGTAGAGATAATGTGTTAAATACACCTCTGCTATTCATTAAATTAACTGTCAAAGAAACAAATATAATGTACATATGCGTAATGTTAGAGATAATTTCCTATAATAACAAAGATAGTACAGGATGATTGAAATCCATGAATTATCTCAAATCACTTCCTAAGCCATAACATAAAACTTCTCCCCATCAGTTACTTTTTAATGAGAATTAATAGGAATCAATTTTTCTAGTGCCATATTTTACAATTATGCAATATAGTGCTGGAATTAGAATAAAGATTATTTCTTAGTTCAATTCCATATACATTAGAGTACCCTCCCTTGGTTATCTTAAAATTCACTGCACATTCACAAAATGGTATCTCCTATGTGTGTATTTTTAAAAGACTATAAATCATAAGAATTGGTTTTGTTTTGTTTATTTTTTATAGTCAGTCCAGACAATAGCAGATATACACTGCATACCAAGTGTTCTGAATATAGAACTGAAGTATTTTATGTGAAATTCTCTCCCTAAAATATTGAGAAAATGCCAAATTGTCTGTTATGTAAATTAAATATCAGCCTTGGGCAGCTTTGAGTTATGGGTCATTCACATTATACAGTAAAATGTTTTACTTTCTCTAACTAGCACAAATTCCCTCTAGACCCAAAGTAAGAGTCACTCACAATCACATATCAAATACAGAAAATGCAAATGACAATGCCTCTTAAATCTGATCATGTCACCAGAGAATACATATTTTACAAACATTGAAAATTATATTTTCATATCAGTATTCTAATGTTTTTGTTATAATTGTCAAAACTGATGATGCTTTTCTTTTAAAATTCTTACACCTATAGAAGATGTGTTATAAAATTGAGTTAAATTTTAACAGAACAAGAAAATATCCAATGTATCTTATAAGCATGTTCATCATGTCAGTTTATAACCTAGTTCATATACCAAAAGACTAACTCTCTTATCTTCACAAAACTTAACAAAAGCATTATATATTTATAATATATTTATATTATGCAATTATATGTTATATATTATATAAGTAATTACATATTATAATATATAATT